CTCTTGTCTCAGTCTTGTCTCGGCCTTGATGGCGCTTGGTCTTAGTCTTGTCTCGGTCTTGATGGCATTTGGTCTTAGTCTTGTCTTGGTCTTGATGGAGCTTGGTTTTGGTCTTGTCTCGGCCTTGAATGTGCTTAACTTCAGTCTTGTTTTGGCTCTTGGACTCGGCCTTGTCTTGACCTTGTCTCGGCCTTGATGTTGCTTGGTTTCGGTCTTAATGACACTTGGACTCGGTCTTGATGGTGCTTGGTCTTGGTCGTGTCTCAATCTTGACCTTTAAATGTCTCGGTCTTGATGCCACTTGGTCTTGGTCTTGTCCCGGCCTTGATAGCTCTTGGACTTGGTCTTGTCTTGGTCGTGTCTCGACCTTGATGTTTCTTGGACTCAATCTTTTTCTCAGCCTTGATGGTTCTTGGTTTTGGTCGTGTCTCGACCTTGATGTTTTTTTGTTTTGTCTCAGCCTTGATGGCTCTTGGACTCAGCCTCGTCTCGATCTTGATGGCGCTTGGTTTTGGTCTTGTCTCGGCCTTGAATGCGCTTAACTTCAGTCTTGTTTTGGCCTTGATGGCTCTTGGACTCAGCCTTGTCTCGGCCTCGTATTGGCCTTGATCTTGCGTGGTTTCGGTCTTGAAGACACTTGGTCTCGGTCTTGTCTAGGTCTTGATGGCGCTTGGTCTCGGTCTTGTCTCGGGTTTGACAGCGTTTGGACTTGGTCTTGTCTCGGCCTTGATGACGCTTGGACTTGGTCTTGTCTCGGCCTTGATGACGCTTGGACTTGGTCTTGTTTCGGTCTTGTCTCGGCCTTGACAGCACTTGGACTCGGTCTTGTCTAGGTCTTGATGGCGCTTGGACTCGGTTTTATCCCGGCCTTGATGATGCTTGGACTCAGTCTTGTCTCGATCTCAACCGTTAAACGTCTTGGTCTCATCTCGATCTCGACCCTCAGAGGTCTCGGTCTTGTCCTGGTCTCTGGACCCTGCGGTCTCGGACTGGTCTTGGTCTCGATTTGTCCGCTTTTCATTCCAACACTAACTTGGACAATTTTTGCCTTGGAATTCTCAGTCTGTGCTAAAGGCAAGACGAGCTGTTCACTTAAAAACCACCACTTCGTGACATCACAAGGTGGAGCAGAGCATTTGGAGCTTTGCAGACGTAGAAAGTACTTTTAAAAACACACGCAGTTTAAAAATACTGTATAAATCACGTGGTAAAATGTGTCTCTTTGTGCCGCGCGTCTGCTGAAACTTCAACGGCGCGAAAAACTCCCCACAAAGCATCTTTATTAATCCTGCGAGTGACTTTTGTTCATTTTTCCCCCTCGTCTTCCTCTCCGCTTTTCCAAAATAAACAATGGCCCGTAACACTGAAATGAACACAGATCGGGATTTGATGTTTGGAGCGTCCAGATGGCTCCTCGTGGTTTCACTCTCTGACGGGCTGGCACCGCACCGGAGCGCTGAGCCACTTCCAGACAGGATTTGGGAGAATGTAGGCCAGGGAGAGAGGGAAGAGGAGGAGAGGGGGAAGAGGAGGAGAGGGGGAGGAGGAGGAGACGAGGGAAGAGGAGAGGAGAGGAAGAGGAAGACGAGGGAAGAGGAGACGAGAGGGAAGAGGAGACGAGGGGGAAGAGAGGAGGAGAGGGAGGAGGAGGAGAGGGGGAAGAGGAGGAGAGGGGGAGGAGGAGGAGAGGGGAAGAGGAGGAGACGAGGAGAAGAGGAGACGAGAGGGAAGAGAGGAGACGAGAGGGAAGAGGAGACGAGAGGGAAGAGGAGGAGAGACGAGGGAAGAGGAGGAGACGAGGGAAGAGGAGGACGAGAGGGGAAGAGAGAGCGAGAGGGAAAGAGGAGACGAGGGGAAAGGAGGAGAGAGGGGGAGAGGAGGAGACGAGGGAAGAGGAGACGAGGGGGAAGAGGAGACGAGGGGAAGAGAGGAGGAGAGGGGGAGGAGGAGGAGACGAGGGAAGAGGAGACGAGGGGGAAGAGAGGAGGAGACGAGGAGAGAGGGATAAAGGTGGAGAGGATAAGAGGGAGGAGAGGAGTACAGGAATGGAGGAGAGAGGGAAGGAAGGAGAGGAGAAAGAGGGAGGAGGAGGAGAAGCGAAGAGAGGGAGGAGAGAGGAGAGGAGGAAAGAAGGAGAGAGGAAGAGAGGGGGGAGAGAGAGGAGAGAGGGAGAGTAGGAGAAGCGAAGAGAGGAAAAGAAGGAGAGATGAGGAGGAGGAGGGGAAGAGGAGACGAGGGGGAAGAGGAGGAGAGGAGACGAGGAGGAGAGGAGGAAGAGGAGGAAGAGGAGGAAGAGGAGACGAGGGGGAGAGGACGAGAGGAGGAAGAGGAGGAAGAGGAGACGAGGAGGAGAGGAGGAGAGGAGGAGAGGAGAAGAGGAGACGAGGAGGAGAGGAGGAGAGGAAGAGGAGACGAGGGGGAGAGGAGGAGAGGAGGAAGAGAGGGGGAAGGGGAGACGAGAAGAGAGGGATAAAGGGGGAGAGGATAAGAGGGAGGAGAG